TGGAAATAACATAGTAAAAGCCATTACTGTACAAGAGGACACTCTACAAAGGAAATGTATTCATTACTTGACTCATGTAATTGTAACCCCTCTGCAGTCACCTTTATAACTCACAAGTAAATAATCATTTTAAATTCTTATCCAATTTTTATAAAGCATCAATCAGTTTGATTTCACATTAAGTCATAAAAAAAGTAAGTCAGCAGTGATCTAGTAAAACCAGCATTCCAAGAATATTAGAAATGGAAACAAAATTGAGGTAGAGTTGAAGTATTTAGAAGTAAAAGGCCAAATTGCATGAAATTTAACTCTTAAAAAGTTTAGGAAAAGAAGAGGAGAATGTTAAACTAGGTTATTCTGGACAAAAGACCTTTAAGTATTCTTGGTATTTTTTTTTTCTTTAGCTTTTAAACGTTACTGAACCTTTTGAAAAATGGACACTTGGGGCTGGGAAGGTGGCTCAGTGGTAGAGCGCTTGCCTTGCATGCATGAGGCCCTGGGTTCTATTCTTAGCACCACATAAGCGAAAAGAAAATAGCCGGAAGTGGTGCTGTGGCTCAAGTGGTAGAGTGCTAGCCTTGAGCTGAAGAGCTGAGAGACAGCGCCCAGGCCCAGAGTTCAGGCCCCATGACCGGACCCCCACCACCCCCCCAAAAAAAAAGAAAAACAAGAAAAGAAAAATGGACCCTTAGGGGGTGCTACTGGTATTTGAACATGGCCTTGTTAAGTAGGCACCCTACTCCCTCAGCCGTGCCCCCTGCCCTTCTGCTATAGCTAGTTTTTAGACCACATTTCTTCCCAAACCAACCAAGGGCAAGCAGTTACGATTTGTGGCATTTTTATTTTGTGACATCCCCAACTTGAGGTATCAGACATTTTAGATTATCATATGTTCAATTCTCTCTCCGTTCTTTGTGGAATATGGTCAATGTATCTAGAAATATTTATTTTTAGCCAAGTTTCATGACTTCTCTGAGGTAAATTTTACTTGTATGTATTGTATTTATAAACAAGGTCTGTGATTACTGCTATTGAATAATTAGGATTGATCATTATATGAATAAAAATTGTAATGGTTGTCACTATAATTTTGAAATTGAGTGAAGATTGCATTGTCTAGGCCCACAAGTGGGTTTTATTGTGCTCTGAGAGTTTTAAACTTAGGTCATCTTTTCAAATGAAATACTTCAGTTTCTCAAATACTATCCTATGGATTTTTTAAAAATACAGTATCAGAATTAGCATTCAAGTTCCTTGCTTTGCACAGTGAGTTTTCTTGTGTGAGAATTGTTAACATTGGACTGTGTTAGATTTGCAAAGAACTTGGAACCAAAAGGCCGGGTAAAGAACATGAATGTCTGTGTCAGCAGCAGAGAAAATAACACATCTATTTTTAAGCAAGTTGGAATTCTGAAGTCAAAGCCTTTGGCTAAGTGCCTGCTAAACGCAGATCCATCCAACCTCTGCTGCCGCCTGCTGCCCGTCAGGAGCATGCCTGAGTAATAAAGAAAGATTTATTTTTTATTGTTACATTTTTCATTTATTTGTTTATTTGGTGCTGGTCTAGCAGTTTGAACTTCGGGCCTGGGCAGTGTCCCTCAGCTTCTGTTGCTTAAGGCTAACACTGTACCACCTGAGCCATAGTTCCACTTACGGTTTTTGTGTTGGTTGATTGGAGAGTCTCACAGACTTCTCTGCTCTGGAGGGCTTCAAATCATGTTTCTCAGATCTCAGCCTCCTAAGTAGCTAGGATGAAAGTAGCTAGACAAAGGATTTACCACTCAACAAATCAGTTTATGAATACATCTTGATCAATGTCAGTCAGCAGAGGCCTATTTCTTATTTCCTCATACCAAATAATAAAAAGATATGTAAGTTCAGTAAATTCCTAAAATAAATCATTTTTACTGCCTCATCAAATACTTAGAGTCTTTTTTCCTACTTCCAAAGTCCTTTATTGGGCCAGCAAAGTTGGAAGCTGCTGTGAGTGAGGTCCCGGTTGTGGGGTCTTGAGCCCGAGGTGTTTGTGTCCTTGTTCAGCTGAGGTGGACAGTGTCTGCTGACCAGCTACATGGTGCACACCTTCACATACTCGCAGCCTTGCTGGGGGCCCCGACAGGGCAGACATCACCTTGACAATGCCTGAATTCCAGGACTCTCCAATGGGAAAGTTAATCCTTGGAGGTTCTGGGAGCTGCGGTAACTGCAGGCCGGTCTGCTGGCACACATACTAGCTGAACTGGTACATGGCTGGAGGCACCACCCACCTCCTCAGCCCTCCTCAGTATGGCCTTGCTTTAGTCACTGGGTCCCAGAAGGTCATGGTCATAGACTAGGTAGATGGCATCCCCAGCCTCACTGCCTTTGATGGGAAACCTCATCAGTAACCACATTCAGGCCCCCATGGTCACTCGGCTTCACCTGCCCTGAGTCTTTATTTTTTAACTTTGATTTTATGTCAATCAAGAATACAAGTCCTAGCCTGGTGCTGGTGGCTCATGCCTATAATCTTAGCTTCTCAGGAGGTCCTCAGAAGATCTAAGGACTGCAGTTCAAAGCCAGCCAGGGCAGGAAAGCCCATGAAACTCTTATCTCCAATTAAGCACCAAAAACCAACCAAGCAAACAACAACAACAAAAATCCCAAAGTGGAGCTGGAACTGTGGCTCAAGTAGTAAAGCACTAGACTTGAGTGAAAACAGCTCAGGGATAGTACCAAGGTCCTGAGTTCAAGCCCCGGGACTAGTACACACACACACACACACACACTTGGGGTCACAGCTTTGATTTATGCCAACACTTTTATATGTCATTAATGTAAATGTCAACGTACTGAAAATGATCAATTATGTCCTAGTACTGTTATGAAATAGTTTGACTTCATAGACCCTCTGGAAAGGTCTCAAGAGACCTCCAGAACTTCCTTAACATAAAACTACTTAAGTAGAACAATAACACATGGACATTCTGAAAATTGTAGTTTTGTTGTTGTAGAGCCATGACTGAAAAAAAAAATGGGTGGGTAGTACGCTGTTCAGAGGCTGATTTGCCAACTCCAAAGTTGCTTCTGTATTCTGTCAGTACCTTAGTGCTTGAGAGAGATCAGTGTAGTGGAGGCTCAGGTCCCTTTTGCTTAGCAAAGGAGAAAGTTTCCTGTAGATTTCAGATTCTCAGATATAGAAAGCATTTGCTTTCCCTTGAGGAACTATGAAAAACTGGGATGATGTTAGATATGTTGCTGTAAAAATACATATGTCTTGCCAGGCTCTGGTGGCTCATGCTTGAAATCCTAGCTACTCAGGAGGCTGAGATCTGAGGATGGCAGTTCAAAGCCAGCCTGGGCAGGAAAGGCTGTGAAACTCTTATGTCCAATAAACCACCAGAAAACCAGACGTGGCACTGTGGTTCAAGTGGTAGAGCGCTAGCCTTGAGCTAAAATGCTGAGGGACAGGCCCAGAGTTCAAACCCTATGACCAACCAAAAAAGGAAGGAAGGAAGGAAAGAAGGAAGGAAGGAGAGAAGGAAGGAGAGAAAGAGAAAAATGCATACATCTTGATTCCCCTTAGTTTTTATCCTGTGAACTAATTTTTAACTTTTATGGTTTTTCTTTTTAAGTTGGGCCTATTTCAGTTATAATCAGAAAATTATTCTCCTTAAGAGGTTTTAAAAGTTGGAGGGGGATAGTCATTTTTATTAGAGCTATTTTTTTTGAAATTTAACTTTATTGTAAGGATGTCATAGGGGTTACAGTTACATAAGTAAGGTAATGAGTACATTTCTTTTCAAACATTGTTACCCCCTCTAGTAGAGTTACTTTAAAGTAACATTTTTAGGGAAATGTCCATATTGCAGAAGTTTTACTCCGAACATTTATATTGTTGAGGATCTTCCAATGAACTGTCCAAGAACTAGTCTCCAGAGAAAATAGAAGCAGACTGTCCTTTATGTGGAACCATACTGGCCTCAGGCTCTAATCCTAGAAGGAAGGAAGTGGGCAAGAGTGGAAAGGAGAATCTGTGATTTTACAATCTACTAGACCTGGAAGTAACAAGGGACAGACTATAAATTAGCATAATTTTCTCAAAATTCTTTTAGTAAAAATAAATTCACTGGTGCTTATTGTTAAGGATAAGCTAAATAATAAAGAAAGGACACAAGACTTGAGGCACTGGGTTCTATCTCCCCAAACAAAGATCAAGGACATGTGAATCATGCAGACCACGTTCTGCTAGCTCTCATTGCGAGAAGTTATTCTTAAACCTCTGTTGGCTCACCTAAAACATACAGGTGATAGTAATTTCTGTGTAAGCTTGTTGTGAATATTAAATGCAATAATACAACCTTTTATAAGTTGAGTGATTAGTAACTATAATTTAATCAATAGTGTATATATTCTATATTGCCCTTCTACCTTCCCATGTATGTTTACCTCCTGCATGTTTTGTAAAGTTCTGCAAGAATATGCTCACATCCTGGCAAGGCTGACAGCCTCACAAAAATGAGAAAATGGAGAGCCATTCATCTTGCATAAAGGCTTTGGTTCAAAAAAAGTTTTTAAAGGCTGTTATTGTCAATTACATATTGAAAAATTAAAATTTTATTTTTCAGTTGGAAGAGAATCACCTTTTTGCAGGAAACTGTGTAGCTATAAATAGAAATGGAGCCAGATGTTGGTGGTTCACGCCTGTAATCCTGTAGTCAGGAGACTGAGACCTGAGGATTGCGGTTCAAAGCCAGCTCGAGCACGAAAGTCCATGAGACTCATATCTCCAATAAACCACTCAGAAAACCGGAAGTGGTGCTGTGGCTCAAGTGGTAGAGCACTCGCCTTGAGCTGAAGAGCTGAGTGATAGTGCCCAGGCCCAGAGTTTAAGTCCCATGACCGACAAAAAAAAAAAGAGAAAGGAAAGAAGGAAGGAAGGAAGGAAGGAAGGAAGGAGGGAGGGAATAAGTGCTACAAGATAATTGAAATGATTTTGTTTTCTTCCTCTCCTTTCCCAGTGTCTACCCCAGGCTTTAGAAAAGAACTGAAAGACTTGGAGACTAGCTATAAATCTCATGAGCTCCACCCAGAATCACATCTACAAACAAATCATTTGACAAAAAGGTAACCATAGACATAATACTCATAATACTCTGGTGTTATAGGAACTCTGTTGATCAGAAGGGCATAAATTACTACCCTGAAAGCAATGGTCTCATCAAGTCTGTGTTGTTGTCAGTCATTAATAGGACCTGGCCCCTAGGGTAGAGAATCTACAAAGGGCCACATCAGTAACTCACTGTTGTAATACAACAATGTAGTAGTAGTGAAGGGGTCTCTCCACTGTGTTCCAACAGGAGGGACTGTGTTCCAACTATCCAATCGATGCCTGAAGGCACAGTGTATTAAGCCCTATATGGAGTTTTCCCATCATCTCTACGTACACTAATTTGATGTTTTCTCCATCCAGCACTTATTATTCTCTGTGGCCACAACTTTTATAATTAGAGATGTGACACCAAACTCTATTTCATTGCCTTCTAACACTGTAATGTGGGTAAGGAGATGTTTTAGGAGATTAATTTGTTTGCTTGTACCATTTCCCTTACATTCTATGCCATATTTTACCACAAAGAGGTATAATTTCAGGGTTTTATTTTTCATCTGAGATAAGTTTTTAAATTACATTTGCAATTACTGGATTTGAAATGTGGAAGGCTCTGGTTGTGGTAGAGCACATGCTTAGCAGACACAAGGCCACAGACTCACTGCCCAGCACTACACACACACACACACACACACACACAAAAATGATGAACTATGATTCTAATAATAATGTTTCTGGTATGATACATTTGTGTATCCTGGAAGCCATGTTTGGTTGAGAGAAAGCTGAACATGTTAATCATTATAAAATACCTCCCATTTCTGTTTATGATGAAGAAATAATATAAACCACATATTGGGAAAATCAGAGTACAAGTCAAGTGTTTGCTTTCCCCAGTTTTGCCTCTTTGCATCTGGTATTTAGCTTTATTTTATTTTTACATACCAGGCCACCCACCAGTGAAACCAGTGAGAAGTTACCTCCTTCATACAGTCCACACATTCTCAAGGACCCTACTGTGAGAGAACATGTCCACCAGCCAGAGGAACAGAAATTGGAAAAACTAAATGGAAGCAGATTTTCTGAATGGCTTCCTACAGAAAACTCTGAGAGAACGAGTTTGCCATTCCAGGTTGGTGATGGTTCTGTGCCTGCAAAGAGAGTGAACAGCAGTGAAAGAGTGTCTCCATCTTCATTGTGTTCTGCACACTTGAGAACTGTAGGGCTAAAGCCAGATACTGCTCCCCTCGTCCTACAACAAAACACAATAGAACCATGTTCTGCTGAGAACTCTGTCTCCAAGGAACACACAACTCATTCAACCTGCAGGTCTGAGGCTGGTCAGATGCCAAAATTTTGCCAGAATCAACCACCCCCTTTGCCACCAAAAAAATACACTATACCCATTGTGCCACAGTCAAACAAAAACGAGTCTCTACCTGATGTGAAGCATACAGAGGGGTTGAAAGCAAATTCCTCTCATCTTTCAATGCACAGTTTAAATACAGCTTCAGAAACCAGCTTTGAAGTGAGTTCACAGAAGAACAATGAAAGATGTCAAGAAACAATCCAATCCAAACAGGGTGGCAGCAACACAACCAACCACCCCTCTGCCTCTTCAGCTAGTGACTTTCAGGCAAACTTGGGTGCAGCCGTTGATGCCTTTTGCCAACCAGAACTAGACTCTAGAGCTGCATGCCCAAATGAGACAATATCATTAACCACCTATTTTTCCGTCGATAGCTGCATGACTGATACATACAGACTGAAATACCATCAAAGACCTAAGCTCTGTTTTCCAGAACTTCCTTCCAGGGAAGGACCTGTGTTGCGTAATAGTCTTGGTTCAAGCTGTCCTTCTGAGCAAAGCTGTACACCTAGCATACATTGTAATAGATAAATGATCAAATCGGCCAGCATCTGCTGCTCCAAGGCCATTGTACCAACTGACCAAATCTAGTAATTTACAAAATCAAATCCATGGCATTTAAAAAATCCTTGATCACTTTATATACAGATAGTTGATGATCCATTTATGGGATGTTTTAGAAACTTTTTCTGAGTATCTTGGCATGCTTTGAAAAAAACAAAACAAAATAGGAAATCAGGGAGTATATTGTAATTTGTTTGCTGTATGGAATAGCCGAGTAAAAATGACATTTGTCCCCCCTGTCATGTGGCTAAGAGATCTATAAATATTTAGCCAGTACCCATATGTAGGTTGGCAAATGACACTAATTGAAAAGTGCCAGGTGGTACCTGGTTTGTCTATCTAGTCAAAGCAGTATTTGCTTTTTTGCAGAGCACTTTCTAATGGGTAACCAGAAGAGGGCTGTACCCATTTATTTTTGACTTCTGTGAGAGTCTATCACATGACCCCTTCAAGTGTCTTAAAAAATAGTGGACCCATGGAATCTATAGCTTTTGGAAGGGAATGCCTTAATGATGAACAATTTCTAAATTAACAACACTACCACGTTAGACAGAACTTGTGTTTGCTCCTACTTTCTTCTTTAGAATATCTAGTTAACATAAATTAGGCCTTTGACAATATGTATTTACAAATATAACTTCAGCCATGTAAGCTAAAAGGTCAAAATATTTTTAACGTATTTATTTATCTTGTTACATTATTTTTCTAATTTTATATGAAATGTAAAAGTTTTTATTTTGGTTTGGTTTACTTTGGGCTGCTAATATTTACCAGTGTTAGGAATCAATCTTGGGTCCTCTGAGGGATTGACTCAGAAATTGCCTGAGTTTTCTCTGCTCTAGTCTTACTTGCTTAAAGGTTGTCAATTAAATTTACTATTTGATTTTCTACGTTAAATTTTATAGAAAGCTTTATTTAAACACTTAATTCATTTAAGCTTCTTTCACATTTTTTTCCTTCAAACAAATCACCATTTTATTCCAACTACCTTCACAGAGAGAATTTACCAGTGAAAATGTCATTTAAATGGCCTTAATTCAATAACACTCATTTTATTTTGTAATAGACTGATAAATTGTGATTTACAATAGTTTTATAGTGTCTCTCCAGAGAATTAAGCTACAGGATAAATGCTTTCTTTACATTCCAATGTGGATAAATTTCATAAGTATAACTTTGTAATCAATAAACTAATAAATTTAGTATCTTCAATTCCACAAACGGTGATCAAATGTCCCAAAATGTGTTTATAAACCTCCACCAGCTATCAGATCCTTGCCAAATTCTATGTTTAACCACCTTTAACCTTTAACTTTTTGCTAGCCTTTTCTAATTCTTAACACTTGGTGATTATGTTTTTATTCTCTTAATTTAGAAGTATTTGAGCATCAACTAAATTTTATCTTTTAAGAGTATTTTTCAGTTTTTAGTACAGTTTGTAAATACTATAAAGTCTGTAAAATTTTATTTGAAATGTCTGGGTTTTTGTTACTTTCATAATGTAAAATACTAGAAAATATAGGCATCAGGTATTTTTATTAGCTTTCAGAAACTTTCTGTGTACATTTTTGTTTTCCCATTTCTTTTTGGTCACTATGTCCAGTTGGAAATGCATTATTTGAAACACTTCAACAAATTATATATTTAACAGCTGTTTCATAAATTTATCACTTCAACTCCACATAAAGTAGAAATGTCTGATTTTGCCTTTCCAGGTCAAAGCCTCATGAATTATGCAATTTAATGCATACACAAAGTAGAAACTGACTTTTTTAATGTTGCTTCAACACTCCAAATACAGTTTCAGTAGATTGTCATTTATATGTAAACTGCATTTTTGTACTTCTAGGGTGCTTATTTATTATTGCCATCTGTTACAAACTTCAGCCTTTTAAATAATGCAACCAACAGTTGTTTTGTTCCAAATACTTCAGAATATATTCCTGTGAAATGAGTTTCTTCTGGATCAGTTAAGATAATTAAAGTGAATTATAGTTGGACTTTTCTTTCTGTTCATAAACTGTGACCCACCCCTACTTGAACTTTCACTGATCATAGAACATTGTCATGGGGTATTAAGAGTTAAGCCCCTTCTGAGTCTAAACTGTAGCTCCTAAAGAAATTGACACTTTTTAGAGACAGATAGGCCCTATAATATTTAGCATTCCTCATGTCTACCTTTCTGCTGTTTTAAAACAGCCTTACAGGATATGTAAGTAACTGAGCCTGTATATTTTCTAGTAGAACTATCAATATTGAAATCTGGATTGCATATAATTTTGACATATTCTGAAAGCCTTGATTTTTTTTTTCCCCCCCAATCATTTCAAAACACACAAACCATTCTTTTTCAAAGTCCTGCCTTATAAAAGATGGGTAATGCTGGGCACAAGTGACACATGCTTGTAATCCTAGCAAGGAAAGTATGTGAGACTGTTATATCCAATTAAACCACCAAAAAGCTAGAAGCAAAGCAACAGTGTGTCACAAGTGGTAGATGCCAGCCTTGATTGAAAAACTAAGGGACATTACCAGGCTCAGAGTTCAAACCACAGTACCAGTGCAAGAAAAGAAAGGTGAAGGTAGTGAGCCAAATTTAGCCCACTAGGCCCTGATTTGATTGTCTTAAGTACAATTTACATTAAACACACAACATAAATATCTGGTTTTGATGTAGTCCCACGTTGTCTCTTAAGGAGTAATTGGAGCTCTAAACCTTTCAAGTTAATATACCCCTAAAAACTGTTCCTTACAACTGCTAATATGCCAGTTCTTTTCAAAATATTATTTCATCTATATGAAATCAAGTATGTGAAATTTCTATCAGAATCTATCTGATTAAAATCATTTCAATTACCCTTGATGTTTGTTGTCACAAGTTTTTATCTTTTCTTGTTTTCACATTCTACTTCTAAAAGCCTTCCAAAGTGTAGTCAATGTAAACAGTTCACTAAAAAGTGGCACAGGAAAAGATCCAACAGTCATACCATTACAGTTTACAGTCACCCATTTATGTGCGAGGATTCCCCAGAGAAACAGGATATATACACAAAAAGAAATTATTTGTAAGGAATGAGGTCATGTGACTATTGAGGTTCCTAAGTCCCTGTTCTGCCCACTGTAAGCCAGAAGCCCAGGAAACCGGAATGCCTGTCAATCAGGGCTCCCATCCAAGTTTGAAGGCCCACGAATCAAGAGAACCAGTAAAGGCATCCTGGCTCAAAGAATTTGTGTGTTTTTATTTCAACTTCACCCTGAAATGATTGGATGAGGCTTACCCATACTGAAGACTGCATCTCTTCTGCACTTCTAGGTTCTGCTTATCTTCTGCTCTCTTCCAGAAACACTCTCATGGAAATACCTATATATAAATGTTTCACTAGCTTTCTCTGATCCCTTAGCCCAAACTCTCATTCTTCACTGTACTCTCTGATAGTTGGGGCTGACTTTAACCTCAAATGGCAGTACAACTTTTTAAAGCTATTTTAAACTTTAAGTTTTTAAAGCTATGTGTACCAGGTACACATTGCTCACATATGTAATCCTAGCTACTCAGGAGACCGAGAGCTGAAGACCAAGGTTCAAAGCCAGTTCAAGAAGTCTGTGAGGCTCTCCAATACACTACCCTCCCCCCGCCAAAAAAAAAGCTGGAATGGGAGCTGTGGCTCAAGTAATAGTGCACTAACCCTTAAGCAAAAGAAAAGATGCTCAGGGATAGTGCCCTAAATCCTTAGTTCAAGCCTCAGGAGCAGCACACACAAAAAATAAGACATGCATGAACTACTAATTTACCTTTCACCACATGACAGAATAAAACCAAACACAGCTACTGTACATTAGTCCAAAGTTTATTAGAGGAAATGACCAGCAAACAATGCAAAAACAGGCCACACAATCTGGTTAACTCCAGCTCTAGAGTTGCTTTAGAGTCTAGATTCTTGCGCCACAATTTTCACAAAAGGTTCTCTTGACAAATGCAACCATACTATAGAGACATTATTAAGCTTATAGTCAGTAAGCCAATTATAATTCTGCAAAACGGCCAGGTACAGTACAGATGCATACCTGTAATTCTAACCACTCAAGAAATACAAGCAGGAAAATCCTGATTCAAGGACAGCCCACTTAGGGACCTTATTTCAAAAGTAAGCGTGGGTGGTGGTATGTGTTTATGGCCCCAGCCAGCTGGGTAGAAGAGAATCAAGGTCTGATACCAGCCTCCCCGCCCCCCCAGCAAAAGCAAAAACCTTGGTATCTGGTTAAGTGGTGGGAACTGACCTATCAAGCTTGAGACTGAGTTCAAATCCCAGTGCCACAAAAGAAAAAACATCCTCCAAAATAAATTTCAGACCTGATTCTAGCCATGAGCCATTTGGAAAGGTAGGGAATGTACAGTTTACTGGATCTTATGCCTTGATCGTAAAGGAATAGCTCTCAAATATTTATGATTTCAACTACAAAAGCCATTGTATAAGACCTTCAGGGCCAATAGAAATAACTCCCAAAGTGTTTATAGAAGCTTCTTTGGGAGTGAGGCCCTTCTGATTAAATGTTTGGTGACTAACCAGGAATGTGAATTCTTTCTGGTTAAAATTTTTTTTCAATTGTAAAAAGAAAATATCTAGTGGGAAAGTAAACTTTATCAAGGCAGGGATTGGATAGAAGTGACATGGAATGAGTGGAATGAGTAAACACCACAAGGCATTGTGCAAATATTTTGACTACAAGCATACTTAAGATACAAATAAAAGCCAGGCAGTGATGATTTCACACTTACAATCCTAGTTACTCAGAAGGCTGAGATCTGAAGACTCGGCTTCAAAGTCAACCCCAGGCAGGAAAGTTAAAAAGACTCTAGTCTGGGAGAGTTAAAGAGACTCTTATCTCCAATAAACTTAAAAAACAAAACAAAATCACTAGGAGAGGTGTGGCTCAAGTGGTAGAGTACTACCCTTGAGCAAAAAAAGCTCAGGGACCGCACCTATGCCCTGAGTTCAAGCACAAGGATCAGAAAATTTTTAAAGGTAAACTGGGTTAGAAACATACAATGCTATTTTAGGAGGTTTAAAGGAAGGGACTGTGGTATGAGGATACGTTCCATAGTTTTCCACTACTATAAATCTTATTACTTTCTCAATGACTATATCTCACAGTCAACCAAGATTGTTTTTTACCCGAGTCTCAATGTCAGAGAGCACTACAGCGAACACAGGTGGCCTCTATTTGCAGTTACCTTTTGTGTTATTTATATATAGGTGGATAGTTAGAGGTTATATATAAATTTCTAGACAACCTACAATACTGGTTTCCTCTCTCAAAAATATTTGATTTGCTTTCGAACAAGTTACTTTTGAATATTTCAATGCCTCATTTCAATGCACTATTATTTACACAGAGAAAACACTGATCAACCCTTAAAATGTTAAAGGAAAGACTATACTTTTTTAATGAATATATCAAACCTCTAAGTACAAATTTTTTTTTTAATATGGTGCCTTGGAAAGTCATCAGATACTTGAAGAGTTTTTAAACATGAACCAATGGGTCTAATTTTAAAAATGTAGCTGTGAAAAAGAGTCCTGTTATTATTACTCATTTGAGAGTTTTCCAGATGAGTGAACAAAATGCATACAAGTTCCTTCAGAGTGTGAAATTCTGCTGCCATGAAATCCTTCTTCATGCAAGAAGTTTGTCGTTTCCAGAATTTGCTTGACTTCTTGAGACATCTTGATATAACAGCAAGCCAGTCTGCAAAAAGCAAACATTTATGAACATTGGAACCCTTATGCCAAAGTTTGAAAATCTTCATTATCTTGGTGACTTGATGTACCCTTAAAGGACTGACACAGATGAGAAGGGAAAATAACAGGCTTTGACCATGTTTTTCACATTTGTATTATTTACCAAGAACAACAACAACAAGAAGATCAGGTCATCAAAAAAAAAAAAACCATTCAAGATCTCTGTCTCTACCAAAAAATGAGGTGGAGGTAAAAACTAAAATGGCTTGAAAGAGAAATTTATAAAAATGCTCATCCCTTTCACTGCCCTCCCAATTCAACCTTCTGCCTTCTATTCTACCATACCACCCAAGGAATTCATGGACAGTGATGCTTAAGCTACTCAAATTCTTCCCAAAGAGGGAGAGTTTTACTTCATCTTTCCCTATTTGGATCCTCTTTATGTTTGCATCTTGTCATACTGCTGTTCTAATACTAAATTGAAGAGCAGTGGAGAGAGTGGACAACCTTGTCTCATTCCTGAGTTTAGAGGAAATGGCTTTAGTTTTTCACCATTAAGGACTGCACTCCCAAATTACTCCAGCTGATTCGAAACTTTGGCAAAGTAGCAGGGTATAAAATTAACCCTTAAAAATCAATGGCTTTTCTGTATGACAATGAGAAGAGCACGGCTGAAATGAGGAATGGAACTCTTTTTTGTAATAGCCCCACAAAAAATAATGTATCTAAGAGTTAACTAAAGACGTGAAGGACCTTTACAATGAAAACTTTTAAAACCTGAAAAAGCAGAACTTAGAAGTGGAAAAACCACCTATGCTCCTGGATTAGAAGGAAACATCATGAAAATGGCAATACTTCCCAAGGCTATCTACAAATTCAATGCGATACCTATCAATATTCCCACCTCATTCTTTTTTTTTTTTTTTGGGCCCGGTCATGGGGCCTGAACTCTGGGCTTGGGCGCTGTCCCTCAGCTCTTCAGCTCAAGGTGAGCGTTCTACCACTTGAGCCACAGCACCACTTCCGGCTTTTTTTTTCTTTTTGCTTATGTGGTGCTGAGGAATTGAACCCAGGGCCTCAGGCATGCAAGGCAAGCGCTCTACCACTGAGCCACTTTCCCAGCCCTCCCACCTCATTCTTAAAGGAAATAGAAGAAGCAATCCAAAAATTCACATGGAACAATAAAAGACCCTGAATAGCAAAAACGATCCTTAACAGAAAGAACAGTACTGGAGTAATATTAATACCAAATTTCAAACTACTACAGAGCCATAGTAATCAAAACAGCTTAGTATGGGCACAAGAACAGACCGGAAGACCAATGGAATAGAACTGAAAACCCAGAAATGAACCCACAGACCTATAGCCACCTACTCTTCGATAAGGGAGCTAAAATACTAGAATAGAAAAAAAACAGCCTCTTCAGTAAATGGTGCTGGCAAAACTGGTTAATCACCTGTAGAAAACTAAAGCTAGATCCTTCATATCACCCTGCATAGAATCAACTCCAAATGGACCAAAGACCTCGAAGTCAAAGCAGACACCCTGAAAACATTACAGGATGGAATAGGAGAAACCCTAGGTCTCCTTGGCACAGGCCAAAATTTTCTTAATAGAGACCTAGAAACACAACAAACCAAAGAAAGGTTGGACAAATGGAATTGCATGCAACTGCAGAGCTTCTACATGGCAGAGGGCATAGCTAGCAAGATCAATAGAAAGCCAATGGATTGGGAGATCTTCACTAGCCATATAACGGACAAGGGTTCCATGTCTAAAATATACTTGGAACTCAAAAAACTAAATCTCCCAACAACAAATCCTCAAAGAAACAATTGCTGGATAAATAAGTGGGCTTAAGAGTTAAGGAGAAACATTTCCAAAGCGTAAATAAGAATGGCCAATAGACACATGAAGAAATGCTCAATCTCTCTAGCCATAAAAGAAATGCAAATCAAAACAACATTGAGATTCTATCTCACCCCAGTTAGAATGGCTATAATCAAGAATTTTAATAACAGATGCTGGAGGGGATGTGACCAGAAAGGAACTCTATTGCATTGTTGGTGGGAGTGTAAACTTGTTCAACCACTTTGGAAAGCTCTATGGAGGTTCCTCAAAAGACTCCACATAGAGCTTCCCTATGACGCAGCAGTCCCACTTTTGGGCATTTACCCAAATGATCACAAACAAGACCATACTAAAGCTACCAGCACAACTATGTTTATTGCAGCATTATTTACCATAGCTAAGATATGGAACCAACCCAGATGCCCCTCAGTAGATGAATGGATCAAGAAAATGTGGTATATATACACAATGGAATTCTATGCTTCCATCAGAAAGAATCACATTGCCCCATTTGTTAGGAAATGGAAAGACTTGGAAAATATCATAGTGAAATAAGCCAGGCCCAAAGAAATATAGGTCCCATGGTTTCCCTTATTTGCAATAACTAGTATATGTCTGGACAAGTAGAAAAGGTCAAAAGCTATGTACATATGACCATATAAGATGGTGTTAAGCGAAATGAACCCCAAGATAGGGACACAACTATTTTTTTTCTTTCTTGCTATTGTTTCTATAATGTACCTAGTGATTTTTTTTTGTTTCTTTTTGTGTTCCTCCCCCACCATATAACCCCTGTTTTCACTGTATTTGATGTTGTTACCCTGCATCTTGTATATACACTTCTCTAATTTGGGGAGGGGAAGGGAAAAAAACAAAACAATTAAATAGGGATACAGGTTGACCCATTGTAACAATGAGATGTACAAGACATTATGATGAAAACGAACTTTATAACTTTGGTAGGGGCGGGGGGCGTTGCTGTGGAGGTGGGAGGGAAAGGATGGTAGGGAAAAAACAAAGGAGGAGGCAACAATGCTCTATAGGAAATGTAGTCATTACTTTGCTCATGTAACTGTAACCCCTCTGTACAGTATTTTTACAATAAAAAAAATGTACCAAAAAAAATTCTTCCCCAAAATGTAGGGGCTGGGTTGGAGAGAGAAGACCACAACTGTCCATCAAGAAGGGCAAATGGGTGGGTGCTAAAGCTGCAGACGGGGTCCTGTAGCTGCTGAGGAAAGCCAGGCGCCAACTCTCGCAGTGCTCACCTTCTCTTCCTCATTCAGTATACCTGTGCTGGCTGGTAGGCTTTGCACCAAAGCAGACATTCTGTTCTAACCACAGCTGTGACATGTGCTTGTACTCAGAAAAACCACTGTCCAAAAGTCATCTTCAGCTACTACTGACCTTTTGTGTTTTTGAGGAAGTTAATATTCTGTTTTGTGACTATAAAACTGGGTGACCAAGATCTTGGCCACTGGCTTATCAGCCAGCCTACTTGGTCCTTCCAACCCCATCTTTTGTCTTTTGTTCCCTTCACTCCCCACCAGTCTCTTCCAGGTTCTGGAGTAGTCTGTATCCCGCAAGTGGGACATGAAAACAAGGCTATACAAAGAAGTCAGGTGAAGAAACCTGCACTTGATGCGTGAGTGAGTGAGTTGAGAAGGTAACAGCTGGAGGGAAGAATGGGGCAAAGTGAGAGCAGGGGGTGGGAACTCTTCACTGAAGTTCTGACATCTATGTTAAGGGCTCCCAGTTGCAAAGTGCCTCACACTGTGTCATGGGCAGACTGTTTGTCCTTGCTTCTCAGAGGAGGGGACTGCTAGCCTGGACACCTGGGTGAAGGTGGCACTGTGACCAGCCTCGCTGTCCTGCCAAGGGTCCTCTACAGATGCCTACTAAACCTTGCCTTTGTGCAATATAATTCAGGATTGTCTTGAACCTCCACAACTTGAATTGTCCAAAGGGCTCTTCAGAAGGAGGCCTCCACCCCTCTTCTTGAGAGCTTGGGAAGGTTTTCGATAGGTGAGGCTGCGCAGAGGCCTTGTCCCCCATTGATCCTGGGGAATGTGTCCCTGCTGTGGTGGACGGTGACTTGGAGCACAGGAGAGGGAAAGGAGTTATCTTCTCTACGTCTTAGCCCTACAGCCGGGATGTCCCTTTGCAAACAGCTTTACCTAAGGCTTAGGCATGGGGCCATAGGGGCACAGAGGACAGATCAAAGGATTGCAGTGCCCTACCACCTGGGAAGAGAGAGGCAGCATGAGCGCAGGACCAGCAGGATGATAGACTGCACAAGCCAGTTCCCCTTGAGACTCGGGAAAAACTGAGGCGGCCAGGCTTGGTGCAGAGCTCCTGCCCCTCCACACTGGGGGCTGTAGAGGCCTCGCCAGGAACGCCCTGCCCCGGGCCGACTCGAGGACCGTGCTTCCTGCCTGCTTATCTGGTGGTGTCTTTCTGCTTTGGAAATCGGAACGGGCAGCTGAGCAGGCTGAAAGAAAGCAGGCCTAGCACAACGCTGCCTGTAGGAACAGTAGGGAGAAGGGGACTTACCATGAAAGGCTTACAAGTATTTCCTGGATTAATTGATTCTGACTATGAGGGTGAAATGAAGATAGTGATACAAACTATTAAAAATATAATGACCATCTCTCCCAAGACAATAGTGGCTCAACTAGTTCCATGACCATTATACCAAATACAGGGAAAGTGTATAAAATCTAAGAGGGGTACTCGAGGTTCTGGATCCTCTGACCATGATTATTGGGTTCAGCAAATAAGACAGGAACCCCTGAACTGATTTTACACCGTAATGAAAAGGCATTCGAGAGACCCTTGATAACTGATGGTTTCCATTGTTTCCAGCCATCACTGGCCAGCTGCATTGCTGTTGTAACCTGCTATCACCCAGTTATAGGAGATAGGACAAAGTAACTCGCCTCAACAAAGCGCTCAATATTTTCCTTGGAAAGATGAGAGGCATACTGAAATATCCCACCCATATGTTCTTGCCTGTTAATCTCTGGGGTAGGGACATTCTGAAGGAAATGGAAGTCCTGCCTATGAACCCCACTGATATCAAAAATATGATGTTAAAACGGAACTATGATCCTATACAAGGACTGGGCAAACCAGGCCAAGGCAGAAAATTTCCTGTTTGATCAAAAGCCAACAGATTGGGATTAGGCTTGAAAGTTTTCAGGAAGAGCCCTGATGTTTCCTGCCATCCAACCCTTGATTGCTGATTCCATTACTTTGGCTTTCTAAGGAACCTGTGTGGGTGGACCAGTGGTCCCTTACACGTGAATTAGTTCAAGATCAGCTAAAAGCAGGACATATGGACCCTACCAGTAGTCCATGGAATAACCCTATTTTCTTAATAAAAAAAACAAATCTGGTCAATGGAGAGTTACACAGGATTTAGAGCAATTAATGCTATAATAAAAATAATGGTCCCTTGCAGCCTGGTTTGCCATCTCCAATTGCTATTCCTTTGAAATTTTTACTTACTTATTATTGATCTTAAAGACTTGGTTTTTTGTTGTTGTTGTTTGCTTGCTTTTTTTTTTTTTTTAACTATTCCTCTTCACCCTAAGGATTGCCCTCAATTTGCTTTTAGTGTTTCAAGCATGAATTGTCAAGCACCCAAACAATGATACCATTGCAAAGTCTTGCCTCAGGGCATAGCTTAGCCCCACTTTGTGACAAGTTTATTGCTGCTGTATTTCAGCCTTTTAGAGAAGCCTCTCCTGCATTACATGGATGATTTTCTCCTGACTCATTCTAATCCAAAATTATCACAGGGTTTGTTTTACAGTTTTAAAGCAACATCTTTGTTTTGTGGGCCTGTGTATTGTTGATGAAAAAACTCAAGTTTCATCTCCCTTTTCTTATGTGGGTCATATTATATCTGAAACAACAATCCATCCTCAGATACCTGTATTAACTACCTGTATTAAAAACTAATCATTTAAGAACTTTAAATAATTTTCAAAATTTGAGAGACAGAAATTGGATTAGACGTAATCTAAAGTTAACCATCTGTGACTTTAAGCCATTGTTTGACATGCTCTGGGGACCTGATCCTCCTACTTCCAAAACCAGAGCTGACACCAAAAGGTCACAAGGCCTTACTTAACCAAGAATGCATGGCACTCATTTAACTTGAATTGATGATACTGAGCCTATCTATCTAGTTGTTTTACCCAAAGATTATATGCCCATGGATTTCTTTGGCAACCACAAGAGCCAATAGAGTGGCTGTTTCTTCCTGTACCTGGAACTCATGTCCTTGTACTTCATCACCATTTAATTAGCAAGCTCATGGTGAAGGGCCAGCAGAAACTGTGTCAACTGACCTTGCTATTCATCCTCACACTCAGTTACAGGTGCAGTGGCTTTATGAATCCTCACAGCCTTGGCAGATGGCCCTGGCAGCCTTCACAGGCCTTCTTTCTTCTCATTATCCTCCTGATAAACTATTGCAATTTTTTAAGGTTACACTTTTTATTTTCCCAAAAATAATTCTTTTCTCTCCTCTGCCCTCTCTGCTTACAGTGTTTACTGACAGGTCCAAGGAAGGAATTGTTGCCCTTAATGAAGTTCTGTCCACTTCTGTGCAGAGTTGAGTTGGTTGCTTTGGCCTTTTCCCTGCCTCGTACCACATCCTTTGATCTTTATACTGATAGTATTTGCATCAAGTACTATTAACCATTAAAATGGCTCTGATTAGTCCAACAACAGATGAAGAGCCATGTCCTGTTTCATCAGTTACAAGTGATTCAGAAAAGGACTTGTCCCTGGTATGTGGGTCATATTAGAGCACATTCTCTTTCACTGATTGGCAGAAGGCAATGTTGTGACTGATGAAGCCACACATGCCCTGGTAGCTGCTAATTTCGAGGATGTGCTGCAATCACGTATCTTACACATCATCAAAATGCCACATCTTTGAGGTAACATTTCACCTGCCCGCCAAACTGTATGGTGCTGCACTGCTTGCGAGGCTGAGCTCTGGGGACTGCAGTTCGAAGCCAGCCCAGACAGGAGAAGCCATGAGACTCCTTATTCTAACCCGCAAAAGGCTGGATGTAGAGCTACAGCTCAAGTGATAGGGCATGCCAGCCTTGAGTTTTGAAAAAGGCAAGGAAGAATGCATGTTCAAGCTCCCTAAGTAAAATAAAATTAAATACATTACAACTATTCCAGGGAATCTGATCCCGAGGAACTGTGCTCCCAGAAAGGTGCTGCACAGTGCCTAAGGTGAGGCTGTCCACCGGATTGTGGGTGTCAGGTGGGAGTATCTGGATCTCAACAGAAAGCCCGGGAGGTAGAAATTGCACACCTGGCTCGGAGTGGACTTCATCCCGTCTGGCCGTCGCCTTTCTGACTAATCACCTGTTTTTGTGACCAGTCGGTATAAAGCCCAAGGAACTGAGCTGCTTTCTGGCGCTAGCCTGGTTCGGGTCGCTGGCAATACATGTCCTTTATCCTCTCTAAAAAGGTGTCTCGATCGCTTGCGGGTCTGGGTTGCCGGATCAAAATAATGGATCGTTTCTCCAGTGGCTTCCGGGTGGTGCAGAGACTCATTCCCAGGGGGTTGCAGCGGGAACCATTAATTCGATCGCGATGAAGCCAAGCTCGCTCGCTCTCGATCCCTTCCCGGAGACTTGGGAGGAGGGAGGGCAGGTCCTCCCCGCTGGTCCTCCACCGTCCCCCCGAACCCCCCCCCCCCAGGGCAGCCCGGGGCGCCCCAGAAATCTTCGGGGAGGGCACTTAATAAAGGAACATACGGTCTCCCGCGTGTGCTGGGGACACTCACCAGGGCAAGAGATAGAAGAACACGAACAGCATCACGTCCAGGAGGATGAAGAGCCACAGGTCCAGCCAGTACGAGTGCTTCGGGACGCCGTTGGGGCCGGCCGGAAGGCGCTCCAGGTGGTTCAGGGCCGGGGCGCCGGCCGCTGCCCCCGGGCCCCGCCGCTCCCGGGCGCCGTGGGGCCGCTCCGCCGCCGCTGCCGCGCCCCGCTCCATCGCGCCCGGCCGTCCGCGCTGCGTCTGCCTCCGCGGCCGCGCCCGGCTCGCCCCCGCCGCCCCGCTCGCCCCCGCCGCCCCGCGCCGCGCGCAGCACCGGGTGGAGCCAGACGCCTACTTCGTGCGTGGGCTCCGCACGACCCCCCCCCCCCAGCCCCGCCCAGCGCGCAGGCGCTCCAGCGCCCAGCCTCCGTGACAGACGGCAGGGGTGGCGGCCCGGACCAGGAAGTAAGGAGCGGCCGCTTCTGTCAGGATGCGGGGCGGGTTCGTCCGGTTTGGGGGGGAAAAGCGCTTCCTGCGACAGGAAGTCACTTCCCTGTTGCGGTTTCTGGTCCGGTGACGGTCGCGGTCTGGTCCTCCCGCCACCGCTTCCCTCCGGATACTTGGGCCAGCGTGTCCCAGAAGGTCCGCCTGGTGGTGGGGGGGGGGGTGGTATGTGAGTAGGGGGGGGTGTCTTGGTGATGCGTGTTGGGGGGGCTCTTGGTGTGTGTGTGTGTGTGTGGTCTTGGTGGTGTGTGTGTGGTCTTGGTGGTGTGTGTGTGTGTGTGTGGTCTTGGTGGTGTGTGTGTGTGTGTGGTCTTGGTGATGTGTGTGTGTGGTCTTGGTGGTTTTGTGTGTGTGTGTGTGTGGTCTTGGTGATGTGTGTGTGTGTGGTCTTGGTGGTGTGTGTGTGTGTGGTCTTGGTGGGGTGTGTGTGTGGTCTTGGTGATGTGTGTGTGTGTGTTTGGTCTTACAGGTACCTCATTGGAGCAAATGTAGGAGTAATTCAGAAAGCCAGGCATCAAGGACTCCCTCAGGCCTGTAATCCCAGCTACTCAGGAGGCTGAGATCTGAGGATGAGGGTTGAATCCAGTAAACTACAAAATTTCAGAAGTGGAGATGTGGCTGCAGAGGTAGAGTGACAGCCTTGAGCAAAAAGTTAGGGCTGCCCAGACCCTGAGTTTAAACCCAGGGGCTGTAGTAGGAAGACCCCCTACTCAGGCAGGCAAGAACCCCTGTTGTCTTGAGTGACAAAGCCCACAGAACGAAGCTGTTGACAAAGAAGCAACTCTATTGAGAAGGTTCCTACGCTGACCGGCCTGGGCGCAGCACACAGGCTGGGGAGGTGATACTTTGACTCTGAGCGGCCCCCATGCTTTGGTTTTTAAAGGCAAAACCTATGAGGTTGAGCCTGGTCACACACAGGTGACCAATGGGATGGTAACCCACACAAAGGATTGTACAGCCGTACCAGACCACACGCAGGTGGCCAATGAGGTTACAGTTTGTAATGGCTGTTTAAACCAACCTATCACCTTGGTTTAAAATGGGTCTACCTTTTGGTGGGGAAAAAGGCGGAGTCTACCATAAGCATGTGCAAAAGTCAGGGTTTACCATAAGGATGTGGTATCACCAGTTGGAGCTAGATTACAACCTGTTTTATGGATCAGTCTTTATGAACAAGCAAGGGTGGGTTAGGTAGTTAAGGAGAGGGGAACCAGATGCATTTTTTTTCATCAAGTCTAAAATCCCTAAAATAAAGGTGAAGCTCAAAATGGAATCATACCAGTTTAGGCCCCTCTGAGGGTCCACTTCAAGGACCAGCACCAAAAACAAAGAATAATGCAAGTTTTCTATTACTCCTTGAGCCTCAGCAAGATTGGAATGCTCAAAGAATAAAAATGATTTATAGGTTTTTTACCCAGTGGCTCAATGTCAAATGTCCTCTTGTTTTGCCACAAGATGTGTTACTCGGAAGATAAAAGCATATAGTAACCATTGCCTGAGTTACTTATGTAACTGTAACCTTTATAATGGCATTTAAAAAAAATCTACACACTGGGGATGGGAAGGCGGCTCAGTGGTAGAGTGCTTGCCTTGCATGCATGAGGCCCTGGGTTCGATTCCTCAGCACCACATAAGCAAAAAGGAAAAAAAACGAAAGTGGCCCTGTGGCTCAAGTGGTAGAATGCTAGCCTTGAGCTGAAGAGCTGAGAGACAGCGCACAGGCCCAGAGTTCAGGCCCCATGACTGCCCCCCCCCCAAAAACAATCTACACACTTGAGTGCCTCTGTGTGCAGTTGTGTGTTCACTTAATCTATGTCTTAAGTCTCCAAAAAATTAAGCTGAGGATTTACTCCATTTTATAGATTTACAAAATGAGACACAAATTGTCTTAGGTTGCTAAAATAAATTGCCTAACTTGTTTTGATTTACCTCCAGATTTAAAGGCAAAGATATGTATATGTTTTTTTAAATTATTTCATTATATATACATTCTTTGTACTATAGATTACCTGCTGTTAGCAAATTTCAAAAGCCCTGGGGCTTCACTGAAACTAGGAGTCTTTACATAAATAAAGAAGAGTAAGTAAACTGCTGCTTCTCTACAGTTAGAAACATTCTCACTGGCAAGATAAAAATCTATCATTGGGTTTTTGCTGAGTTCAAAACATTTTCAACTGTTTTGAAACTTATGCTTGGCACAGGGTCCCACATGTGGGGAATTGTTTGTTCTCTTAAGTCTTATCTGTTGAGCCAGGACCATTTGTCAGCATTGGGAGTGCAATTAGAGGTTGGTCCTTTGTTTAGAGTTCTGTCCCTGGGACTTAAACTTGTTAGGCAAGTGTTCTACCATTGAGCCACATTTCTAGGTCTTTCAGTACTGACTGGTTTCTTTGAAAGTAGGGACATGTTTCCTCTGGAGAGACGTGCCTGGAATATCATCTCAACCTATTATTCATTCCCTTCTCTGGCTGCAATGACAGGTATGTCAGCCACACCCAGACTCTTCTGTGGAAATGAAGTGAACATTTTCTGTGTAGGCTGGCCTGAAACATTTTTCTTTGCCATTCCTGGGGCTTGAACTTAGGGCCTGGGCACTGTACCTGAGCCTCTTTTGCTCAAGGCTAGTACTCTACCACTTGAGCCACAGCGCCACTTCTGGCTTTTTTTTTTTTTTCTGTGCTACTGAGGAATCGAACCCAGGGCTTCCATCATGCTGTACAAGCACTCTACCATTAAGCCACATTCCCAGCCCTGAAACTTAATCCTAGGTAGAAGAATGCCAGCCACACCCAGTTATTGTCCGAGAAAAATTATTACCACCGCTTGCAGGGCTAGCATTGACTCCTGATCTTCTGATAGCAACCTCCCAAGTAACTTGGATATGGGCATGAGTCACTAGCGGCTGCCCAGGAGGAAGCCACTTAAATTAAATTCTGTTGAGTGATCCTATCCTTCAGACTTCACTCTCAGAGTCCCATTGATTCCCTTGTAAAAGTTTCACTGGTTACGTGACAGAAATGAATACGGAGTTTGTTGAGAACTGGTTATGTCCCTAAATTAAAACAAGTTAATTTTTTAAAAAAATACTGTGGGGCACCAGTGGCTCCTGCCTGTAATCCTCGCTACTCAGGAGGCTGAGATCTGAGGATTGCAATTCAAAGCCAGCCTGGGCAGAAAACTCTGTGAGACTCTTATCTCTAATTAATGGCCAAAAAAACCCAGAAGGGAAGCGAGCTGTTGATCAAGTGGTAGAATGCTAGCCTTGAGCACAAAAGCTGAAGTACGGAGTCCAGGACCTGAGTTCAAGCCCCAGTACCTGCATGCACATACAAAAAGTACTGTACCAAAATTCAGGTACATTATTATATGTGAGTTCTGCATTTTTCCAAGCCTCTTGAATCTTTCTGAACCATACATTCAACTGAAACTACAGATTGAATTATTATGCTGCCACCATGGTTCCACACATAGCTGAGATGGCACAATTTGTCATGTATTTCTCATCTTTCTTTCATCTTCTTCCAAACTGGATGGGTATGTGTCCCACCAGTCATCCTGTTGACTGGTGATAGTTTCCTCTTCATCATCTGGGTCATTTTAGCCATTTGTACTTGTTCTGTCATCGTCATTGTTCTATGATCATTTCCTTTATTCGAGCAGACTGGCATCCTTTTTTTAGACTATAGCTTCTTCTTATCTTCAACTTGGACTGGTTCCCAGCAAATGCCCTCTGCTTAATCTAGATTCCTTACTTCAGTGTTCTTGGGGGGAATTCTTCTCCTGGACTCTGTGATCCAGTGCTGGTGTTCTCTTCTCTTAGCATCTGTGCTTTAGTGTTAATTGTTCTCCCCACCTGTCTGATCCTTCCTTCCTTTGGGTCTCATGTCAAATGCCAGCTTCACAGTTTCCCTTAGCATAACATAATTCCAATTGGTCTAATGTACCCATTGGAAAAATATCACTTGTAACTCATTTTCAGGTGTTTCACATGTTGGGTGCTTTATTCTTGGGTTATTTTCTTAAAATCAAGGGAGAGAAATATTTGTTTGATAGTTTTTTATTTCCTTTACCGCCTGTTTTTTTCTGCATTTTTTCACAACAACCTGCTTGTTGATGGGTGTATGTATTAAATTGAACATCTGTCAAAAGTTCTATAGCTAAAAATTTGCAATTTTCTGGTATGTTGTCTGGCAAACTGGCTTTGTATCAATTTTTCTGGGGTGCTAGTCCTGGGGCTTGTTAGGAAACTGACTCATGAGGGCATTACAATAAAAAAAGAGAAGAAAGTGAACTCAACAGACTACATCAACTTTAATGGAGGGTTGAAGAGGGACTCCATGGTGATCTGAAGAGAGTCAGGAGACACAAGGCATGGCACAATGGGTGCAGGGGTGGAGATACTTACGTAGGGTTGAAGGTGGTCAGAAAAAAAAAAAGTGTCGGGATGTGCTCTGCAAATTTGTGGGTTCAGCCTGAAGTAATTTACTCAGGCCTGGTTGCAGGAGGTTGCTGTGAAGCCCACTGAGAAGGACCGGGTTCAGCCAGGTGTGGTCTGCTTAGGGAATTCAAATGCCTCTTATCTGGAGGGGTGGGAGACTGGACTTTTGCATTTTAGGAATTTCAGACACCCATCAGGGCTTGAACTCAAGGCCTGGACATTGTCTCTGAGATAAATTGTGCTCAAGTCTAGTGCTCTACCA